TGGATAGATCGATGTAATGATCAATAAATAGTTACATAGATGAATTGTGTATATATTGAGCATTATTGTTAACATTCAATCCAAAGGATTTTTCTGTGTTGGTTGTGTTAAAATCATAGACTTATATATTGTATGTAGACTGGAAACCGGAAACTAATTCTTATCCGCGGTTGATCGATTCACATACCTATATATATATTTTTTTATGTAAGTAACTCTTTTTCAAGCTCTAATGAAAGTCGCCCCTATCAATCTTTTCTGTCTTAGAAAAGTAATGATCTTTAGTTTTCAAAGTTTAGAAATAATGCAAAATCATTTCTCGGATTTTCTTTAGAATGGGCTTTTAATCACAGAACTATATATTAACGATAATATATGAAACTAAGCCATTTCCTGTTAGTTTCCATTGAGATAATTTTTCAAAAATCCTAGATCGAAATAATTCATGATAATTCTAGATATAGTATATGTGTTACGTCTTCATATTAGATGAGACTCTTTAGATATGGAAACGACAAATCACCGTTTATAAATACTTTAATCTTTATTAACACTGAAAACACTTTCTTGTTCATATTCCTCCATTCTGGTTCTCCTTTATCTTTCAACACGCTTTCGCACCATTTCACATTTACACTAAGATGCGCACGTAAAGACCCCCCCCCCCCCCCTGTTTAACAAGTTCGATGTACATCGAACGTCCAAAATACAAATCACTAAATATATTATCAGACTATTCCAAGTTTTAAAAAAAATCTGTAACGTATAAAACCATAATGTAATAACCAACAAAAAAAATCATACACAATGTCTTGTTAATACCACTACAATTCGAACAAAGAATAACAATTATATTAATCACAATAATAACTGTTATTATGATCAATTGCAACAACTTCTGTTAACATATATCTATAAGTAATCATATTTCTATTAATGATTTGCTAAATAAAATTGTATCACATTTCATTAATACAACTCCCCACTCATAATTTTATGCCTGTACAAAACACCCTCATTCCAGCCAAATAGTAAACAAACCAAATCCATCTTGCTCCATGCATATTGTACCCCCAACAACATGACCCAGCATATAACTAACTTATAACACTCCTAATATCATAGATTTAACCCAATGCTATTTACTTCTTAGTATCATCCGGCCTATATAATAATTCCAGTCTTGACGTTTCTTTTTATGTATTTCTACCACACCATTTCGATAATTTTCTTACAAATGTAATTTTAATAGAATAATTATAATCAAACAGAACCACGCAAAATTAAATACATTGTGCAAAATCTACGTATCTACTTTCCACTACTTATATTCTTTTACATTCTCTATATAGCCTTTACTAAACTTCTATAATGTAGTATCCTTAACCTACATGCATACGTAACAACAATATCCAATTCATTACACATATATTTATTCATTGTAGAATCTAATCCTATCTATATAATTTTAACATTATTGACATGCCATCCTTTCCGCTTCCCTCCTTTGCAATGATGTCCCATTGTGATCCCACTACAGAATGATCCAGCTGTACTGTTTACTAGCCTGCTAATATCCATATCTTTTCTCGTATACGCCTCTCCACTATTGTACCTTAATTCCTTAACTCTGATTAACTGTTGACACTGTCTTCTAGTATGCCCCCTTCTCCCACAATTAAAGCATAAGATGTATGGACTTGTACGTGTGTATGTGGGTTTAAATCGCGTTCCCTGTACCACTGATTGCCTTACTTTACTTTGATTTGGACCCATTCCAATTGCATTGCTTTTTACCTTATCTGGTAATTCTTTCTTCTCGTGCTCTCTGCTACCCATGTCATCTGATGTATGGGATCTTATGTCTTCTTCCACCTCCCCATTTCTACCTCGAGTAGACTTTATCCCATAATATTTCTTCCAATTTTCAATCTCCCCTACTGAACATATTTTCACCCCATGAATGTTCCCAATAATTAAATCTATCTCACCCTGATCTACAACACAAGCTTCCACTGTCCCCTTAACATACGGTGTGTCTATACTAACTTTAGCAATCGGTAATTGTACAATATTCCCATCAAACATAACACACTTCCTAGATTCGCCTGTATATTCATGGTCTTCCACTAATTTCTTATTCACTCCAATAATAGTGCTCCCTGTATCCCTGATGGTCTTGGCTGCCTTGTTCCCTACAAATGTCTGAAAAACCTCCAATGTTCCAGTCTCAGATGACAATGATAAGCCTTGCTCTATTCCACCTTTCTCCCAGTCCTTTCTTTCCTGTCTGTTTCCTCGATATCTTCCATTGCGGCTATCATAGTGTCTTTCATCTGTACCACGTCTATAATGTCTATCCTGTGTCTCCCGTGTTCTGTGAGAGTTATTCTGTGTCTCACATGTTCTGTTAAAGGCAACTATTTCTTCTATGTCGCTGCCTCTGGATAGTTTCTTATCGGGATGTGCCACCTTATAGGCCCTTATCAGTCTTACTATGTCTTTTATGGATTTTGGTTTTCTCTCCAACAGAAATATTTTTAATTCCTCCTGACACTCGTACATCACTTTGTCCAGCATGAGAAATGTCTTAAGACTGTCAAAGGTTTTTTCTACCTCAGCGGTTTCTATCCAGTTATCGAAATGGCTGCTCATTTTGTCCAAGAAGGTCTGCGGGTCATCCTCTGGTTCTATCTCACAATTAACAAACTGTTGGCGATAGAAAGCTTCTGTTTTCCCGAAAGTTCGAAGTAGTTGTTCTTTCACAATGCTGTAGTTACTCTGGTTCATACATATTTTTGACGGCACCTCCGCTGTAAATGATCTCGACAATAAGAATGTCCATTTGTCTTCAGGGTACTCCAGTTGTCTCATTTCTATTTCGAACTTCTTCAAAAAAATGTCAATGTCCATTTTGTCTTCGTTGAATATCAAACCTTTATATTTGGCCAGTTTATTCCCTGTAGTGTCACTCTTTCTTTTATCACTCTCTTTTTCTTGGTTTGTTTTTAACTTTTTCTCTGCTGTCTCTTTTTCAAACGCTAATCTTTCTCTTTCAATGGCAACTAACTCATTTTTCTTTTCCTTTTCAATCGCTACTATCTCCTTATCCTTTTCTCTTTCTCTTTTGTCCTCCTTATCTAATCTCTCCTTTTCTTTGTCTCTTTCCATCGCTAATCTCTCCTTTTCTTTGTCTCTTTCCATCGCTAATCTCTCCCTCTCCATTAACCTTTCTTGTACGTATTTTCTTAGTTCTGCCCCTTCCAGCTCCAACAACCTTCCCTCTTCCTTCAACGCTGCTACCTCAGCCTTGTCCGCCATAGTCTATTTCTAATAATATCGACTCGAATGTTCTCCTGTCTCTAGATTTAGACTTTACTATCTCTACTGTCTGTTGACAGGAGATCCACTGTGTATAGAGGGATATGTGGGTTTTACCTTTTACGTTGGGCGCCACTTGTTACGTCTTCATATTAGATGAGACTCTTTAGATATGGAAACGACAAATCACCGTTTATAAATACTTTAAAATATTGTTATAACTTTGCCATGCACACCGCAATCCAAGCTAGCGCAGAAGTTGTGCACTGTTAGAGACGAGACTAGACTGAGAAGGTGCGCACTGTTAGAGACTAGACTGAGAAGGTGCTCACTGTTAGAGACTATACTGAGAAGGTGCGCACTGTTAGAGACTAGACTGAGAAGGTGCGCACTGTTAGAGACTAGACTGAGAAGGTGCGCACTGTTAGAGACTAGACTGAGAAGGTGCGCACTGTTAGAGACTAGACCGAGAAGGTGCGCACTGTTAGAGACTAGACCGAGAAGGTGCGCACTGTTAGAGGCTAGACTGAGAAGGTGCGCACTGTTAGAGACTAGACTGAGAAGGTGCGCACTGTTATAGACTAGACTGAGAAGGTGCGCACTGTTAGAGACTAGACTGAAAAGGTGCGCACTGTTAGAGACTAGACTGAGAAGGAATGTTGACATTGAGAGATAAAAAAAAGAGGTTCTGCCCTAGTCTAGAACTTACGAAGTGGCTGTGCCCAAGGCAGACATGTTACCATGTGTCTTTTGATGACCTCCTGTGATTAAACATCTGTATATAGTCGTCTCCCTTAAGTCATCGCTAAATCTGCAAATCCACCTGAACTTTAATCTTTGGACTCGATGACAAGCATTAACTATTTTAAGATATATCAAGGTGTCATATTATGACATTTAATTCCAAGTTTGTTTTTAACTTCCATTTCAACTGGCATTAGCAACTTATTTATTTTTAATTAGTCATTTTAAAATATCTGATATTTCCGAACTGTTTGGACACTGTTTCATTTGGATTCTAACAAGTCTAGGGCAGTGTTTCCCAAACTGTGTTCCTAGAGACTTGACTAGGTGCTCCCCAAACTGTGTTCCGCGAGGCTTGACTAGGTGTTCCACGAACTACCGAAATAATTAACAACTAGCCAATCACGTGAATTATGCTCTCTTAAAAAAAAAAAGAAAAAAACAAAAGTGTTCCACTTAATACTCAGAACGTGCGAAGTGTTCCGTGAAGGAAAAAGTTTGGGAACCACTGGTCTAGGGAAAGGTTTACAAAGGTGTGGATTTGAGAGGGACAATTTTCACCAGTAGATTTTCGATGCATGTACATCATAAATTACATGTGTTCCCTTCCAAAGAGTAAGATCATGGAAGTCCTACGCGTATCCATGTGTTAATCTAGTCGAATATTAATTAGAATCTTAAACTCCGCCAAGTCATTGGTTTTTCATGACTGATATAAATAATCCGTCCTATGCGGTCATCTCCAGTGACATGTGGACACTAGCGAAAGAGTATCGTTGCATATGGTGTCTTTGATGCTGTATATGCATAATTGGTTGGATATATGCCGAAAACTGTTCCTCATAATGTTATTTTGGTCAACAACCGTCATTTTTTTCTCTTTCATATATAATAAAAAGAGACAAACACCACAAAAAAAAGACAACTCAGAGATGTGAAAATAATAATTCATTGTAATCATACATTTTTAAGCACAAATTTTTAAATGGTGTCACGGATTCTCTCCGCTTGCACACCACTTACAATTAATCAAATCTTGTCTCCCCTGGTCACAATCTAAGATAAAGCTTGTACCCAAGCACCCAAGAGAAGGAATGACAAGAGGGGGAAACACCCCCATTCAGTCTCATCCTCTTTCAGACTGGTGAACTTGTTCATAACTTTTTTGTTTTTATATAAATAATAATACAAAGACTTTCATAAAATCACATTTCAATAGAGGAAATAAATTCTAAAACACATTCCAGGATTTCCAGTATGATCATGAAGTCTGCTGCAGCAAAGGTCCAGAAAAAAATATGGCAATAAAGGTCTATAAAATGATGTTCATAACTTGTGCGCTTAGACCGTGAACAAGAAAGGGAGATTGGATTTGTGAACCTTTCAGTGAAAGAACATTTGCTTCTGACAACGTAAACTTGAGAGAGATTTTGGGGATAAAAATCGAGTTTCCTTTCTTGTCATTCCATCTCTTCAGTGACACCAACTCAGTCGTACAGAATAGAATCTAGCAAAAAGAGGATAGCTTCCCTTGTATGCACTACAGCATATAAATCAGAGATTCTCTCCCTTGTACACTAAAATATTCAAACAACTACTCTCTATGTACACAATGCAAACCAAAGCGCACATAATTTACACACTAAATCTCATACACATATGCAGCACAGACACCACCATTAACACGTTGCACTTATACACCATATGTAACACAGACACACCCTCACCAACACATATGGGTTACAAACATGCAGCCCCCCCCCTCCCCGCACACATACAAATCCAACACGCCTCAGTGAGTGCATGTCTAACAATTAATCAACTATGAACACAAACCAAAAAAAAGAGAAACACAGATAATTGTCTATATTACAAAATATGGCAGAACTAGTCTCCACAGTGTAGACCGTGAGTAAACATAACTTGAAGCTATGCAACACTGCCTTCACTAAGTCAATAGTAAAAAAAAAAAAAAAAATAGCATTATGCTCAACACAAAAAAAATGCATATAAATTATGTATATATATATTTATGTATTTATATTTGTACACTCATATATACAACACATAAAATACTGGGGAGAAAGGAGAGATTTTACCATACCTAAAGATAATTTTGGATACAACACATTCATAACATTCATATGCTCATTACAGACTACATGAAAAATTTTTTTTATATAACATGTCTGGACAATGTTCTGTTGTAGAAAAAACAAACTTAGCTATGGGCCTTTATCCATTGTCAAATGTTTGCTTTTCCTGTATATAGAATTTTTTTTAATTAGTATGTGGGGGGGGGGGGGGGGGGGGGGGGGAAGAAGGAAAGAACAGAAAAGAAATGTACCGGTATTGTCATTTTTAATGACATAGAAAGGGTGCACATTTTTTAAAATGCTGAGAACTACTGTTCTAAAACTTAAATATTCAACAGTATATTCTCAGTTTTATAGGTGGTGGAGTGCTTACATCCATTACCACTTCCGGCAATGACAACCCCATGGCATGCGTCTCAAATAGCCTATGACAGCCAGTCCAACTCCTGGCCTTCACCTGCGGCTCAGATATTGAGTCCGGCGGAACAGTTCTAACTAACAGGAGAAAGGGCAAATGCGAGTAACTATCGCCCTAACCAGTAAGCTTCGGATTGAAGGGACTCATTAGCCAAGGCTGGCTACCCACCTAGGAGAAGAAAACTCTGAATTCAAACCTCTGTTGCCTTGCAGCTATACCCAATCATGGGAGTCAACCCTGAGGAAAAATCAGGAGCTGGCGACCCTAAGGCAGTTTGCAGCACCCAGTGCTACACCCTGGCAGAACCTTCGACGCCGCTGACTCCAAACTGTATCGACACTGCCGTTCCTTTGAATACATCAGCTGCGTGGAGAGGGGGGAACTGATGTGTGGGCGACAGCTAATACCCAGACTTCGCGACTAAATGAGGCCAAAAATGGAGATAGAGCGATAGATTCTCAATTTAAAATACAGCAGAGTGACCTGCCCTGTGTTGTACATCGGAATAACAAAGGTTTGTTTTTTTAAATATTAAGATAAAATATTAAATATCTTTACCAATGGTTTGAGGAACAACAGCAACAACAAAATATTTGGAACATATTTACTTATTGATGTATAGTGATAGGATAAAACATATATATATATATATATATCAGTGTATCTGTATATACTGTAAACGTACTAAGTTTCATTCCAATAATCCAAGAATGTGTCACTTTATTGCTAGTATGGCAACTGTTTATAGTCTATAAATGCAAATGTTGACAGGCTAAATGCACGGTAGGGACACAGGAATAAATTAAAAGGGCATCACCAGACTATTTATAGAAAGGCATTCATAGTTGAATGTTATGATATACAAAAGTATTCATAGCATTCAATAACTATTGTACTGTTGCAAAATATTTAGAAGTTGTTTTGTTGTTGTTTTTTTGTCAAAAACTTTGAAAGAATGATGATTCATTATTTGAATTTTGTAGATTTATTATGCTAGACAATTTATGTGGCTAGACAATTTATGTGTAAGTAGTCTAGAAAGTGTTGCAATAAATTATTTTTCCAATATTAATTAATTCCAACATCACATACTAGAGATTTTGTATTGAAATCTATGATTGTACTGAAAAGTATTGTCAAATGTAAAATAAAACTGTATTAAATGGTAGAGTTTTGTACATTTAAAAATGGAAAGATTATTAGAACAACTGAGTTAAGGTTTTTAATTTTTTTTTTTTGCTTTGACCAGACTATAATCATAAGTAATTTTATTGAATCTGACATCACAGATTGTGTATTTGACTTAAATTTTTCTTATGGCACTTTATATATTGTTATGACTTTGCCATGCGCACCGCCATCCAAGATAGTGCAGAAAGAAGGTGCGCACTATCTGTGACTAAACAAGTCGGATGTTGACATGAGAGAGAAAACGAGTTCCGCCCCAAGTAGAGAGCCAATATGGGAGATGCCCTTTGTGTTTGACATGTATCCGTGTAAAATAAAACAAATAAACGTCTCTGTCTCGTTGAGGGTTGCCTCACTTCAGTTAATACTATTGGTGTCAGAAGTGGGATCTATAGGCGACTCAACGAGAGGAGGTAGGATTCTAGCACAATGGCATCTTGAAACAACTAGGACCAACTCTTAGTTAAATAGCTAAGGCAGGAACTTCGTTACAGACGCCTGAAGCTTGGTGGTAGCAAGGAGGTGCTTACAGCTCGTCTCCGGCAAGCCCTAATTGATGAAGACGAAGATCCGGAGACCTACCTATTTGAAATTGAACCGGAGATTTATGAGCTTATTGGCAAGATAAATGGAGGTATTGATGCATTGTGTGAACAAATTAACAGTATGGGGAACAAGGTAGATAAAATGGTG